TGTCTAAATTTATATGATGTTGTTTGACTGAGCACGAAACTTAAGAAAAAAAGAAAGAATTTTAAAACTTATATTTCCCCACTTTGTCATAGTGTCAATCACTCTACATATAGATTCGCCTATTATGTAGGAAATATATGATGGTTGCAATCTGTGTCAAGTATCAGGAGGTATGGCTTAGACGTCAATAAAATGTGCTAATACAATAAGAAGCAAAAATTTATGTGATTTATCTCATCTCCCTATATGAGGCATATTATAGGGAGGTAACAGTTACTCGTATAATAGTTGAGGTGTTCAAAATTTTATAAATTTGAGGCAGAAAGCCATGTGTACTCAGAAAGTCATCTAAGACTTTCCGCTGATGTGTATGAGACATGATTTAAGAAAATTTTATAAAGACTTTCTCTCTTTGTTGTATATTAACTACCAAATGATGCCAATTTAGTTTAATCTTTGACGAGCTATACGTTATTTGTCACGATCCGAAATCTCAATTTCGGGATCGTGATGGCGCCTAATATCCACTTGCTAGGCAAGCCAACATTAGTACACAATTAATCATTTTGAAACTAATTTGAATATAATTTAATAAGAAATAAAGTTGAAGAGTTTTAAAAACATAAGAAACAATTGGTATCTCTTCCTTGAAGCTGAAAGAGAACGTCTTCCTTCTCTCTAACTACTTGTTTTTCTTGTAATATTTCTCAACCCCCAATTCCAATGACTACTACTACCACTGATCAAGATCCGTTACGAATCCCTCCAAAACTACCGGATAGCAAAAATTCTATTTAAATCAATGAAGACTAAGCTTCGAATAATCCAACCGTCACAATAAATTCTCCCTTCCCATCTTTCAAGGACAAACTCTTGGGGAAGGATGAAACTATTAATATCACTGCAAATCCCTTATCATTCCTCGTCCTCCCAATGGATATTCAAGAACATGAAACGGAAACCCCACCCCTAAAGGAAAACGAGAGATGTTCCATCACTATACCTATAGCCTTAGAGGACAGACAGAGAATATACCATCCATGGAAATATTCTCTAATAATAAAACTCCAAGGCAAAAGATTCCTCCGTCAATTTTTGAAACGGAAAATCCAAGAGTTATGGAAAATTAATGAAAACTTTCCTCTCATCGATCTGGGAAACGACTACTTTATTGTCAAATTACAAAAAGAAGAAAGTATGAATTTGGTCCTCCAAAAAGGCCCATGGTTTATCTAGGGCAATTTTCTCTCAGTACAAAGGTGGCAACCAAATTTTGTTGCAACGGAAGCTAAACAAACTTTTTCAGCAGTATGGGTGAGACTTCCTCAATTACTAACTGGATTTTACGACGGTTTAATGCTTCAAAAATTAGGGGGAGCCATAGGAAGATTATTAAAGGTGGATGCATGCACCTCATCATCCGTGCGAGGCAGATATGCCGGATTGTGTATAGAATTACCAATCGAAGAGCCAGTGGAAATATTTATTAATATCGGTACACATAAACAATTAATTCAATACGAAACAGACCACTTCCTATGCAAAACATGTGGCAGGCTAGGCCATAAATCTAACACATGCATCTACAAGAAACCCACGAACAAAGAATCAATGTCAATGCCAATGGAATATTCAAACAACAACAACTCAACAACAAGAGCAACACAAGAGGATGGCTAGCATACAGTGCCATTCACAAGAAGTAAGAAATCTACTCCAACAAAAATAAAAGAGGCAGTAAGCAAGAACCAAGATTCAGGTATTGATGTCAAATTATTCAATGCTGCAACAGGTAAGTACAGTTTCACCCAAATATTAAGATATATTCCTAAGGACTATAGCACTATGCTTAATAATATTTTAATAACTGTCCACGATCAAAATCTATCTATTAATTCAAGTGATGATAATCACATTGAAACAAAAAACCGCTTTTCGGCCATTAACTTAGACAAACAGCAAATGGTTTTGGATAATACCTTTAGTGGTAATAACCATAATACCACTAACAACTCATCCATGAACCAACCGCTAAAGACAAAAATGCTCAACTCTCTTAATCCACTAGACGACAAATTCATAATACTAATGGGCCTAGCTTTTTTAACCCCCAAACCCAATCAAACAGTGATGCCAACCCAATTAATAGAGTTAATGATGATCCTAAACTCTTTATCAACAATAACCCCCAATCAATTAGGCATACCTCAGTGCATGCCAAAATATACCCGTCCAAACAAAAATAGTTCATTAAACAAATGTCACCTACATCGATACACGTGCCAAATCAACCGCATGCAAAATCCTCTATTAATCCAAACACGCTAAACCCTTCGGATGCCATGGAAATAAAAGTAATCATTCCTACTCCCTCCATCCCCAACCCCTTAAATCACCAACCTCTACCTCAATACAATGCCAAGAATTCTTCTCAACCACCGGAGGAGATTCAGACTCATCCAAATTCTAAGAAACCAACGAACTAAAACGATGGACAACCTCCCACCTTTTCCTCCCCAGTTAGCAAACCTACCCCTAATATATGCACAACCCCCCTTCCCTAGGATCACCATCCAACATCATGGATAGAACTAGAATTAATGGGGAGGGGTGTCTCACTTCAACTCAACATCAATGGTCAGGAGAGTATCATCTTAATCCAAAATCCACAATTCCTAGCACAACTAGTATCCGAGGGTCTTCATCTAGCAATGAAAAATTATATTAACCACATTTGGGTAAACAACATAATACAACTACTTTCACCGGGGATGAACAATAACCTAATCCAAGCAATGCATGCACAATGGAACCTCCCACCCTACTACAATCAAAATCCATACTTACCTTAAAACAAGGGGCTAAACCTATCATTCTTCCCTCCCCAGGAGATGATTTCACTCAACCCTATCTTGATGTCGTGGGATCTAACCCTAAGCCACATGCAAACACAAATTTCAGTAAACCTAAGATCCATGGGTCACCAGGTCCCATAACCACCAATGCCCCAGGATCTAGAAATCCCAATAGAGGAGGGGATGGAAGAACCCATCAACCTAATAGGAGAATTAATGGTGGAATCCTCAAACCTAGACGAAGTCAAGGTATTTCTATTCGATGAGATACGGGATAAGAGGCTTATTATAGCTTGTCCAAGTTCACTCTTCAAGTGCACCATGGGCATTCGACCACCTCAGGATCCCACTGTTGGGAAACAAGCAATGATTTTAGTACCCTCTCTAAGGAGGAATCTAGTATTCCCTTAGGGGAGTCAAATGAATGGCCATCACCAACCCCTGCCTCAAACCATGAATCGTGCTAAAACTATCATTATTTGGAATATTAGGGAAGGCAACAATGAAGAGTTTAGAAGGAACTTTCATGATATGATAGCTACTCACCACCCTTACATGGTCACCCTCCTTGAAACTACAATGACTAGTCATGGTAGCTTAATGAATGATTTTAGTTTTACGAACATGATCGAGGTCCCAGCTGAGGGTCAATCAGGTGGTATGGTAGTCCTTTGGGATACAAATTTGGTGAATGTCAACAACTTTGTCAAGAGAAACAATGGAATTCATGCTCTGATTGAGGTACCACCTATCCGACATCCTTGGCGTTTTTCATCTATATATGCTAGTATAAATATTACAAATAAAAATTTAATGTGGGATAACATTAACAATATTTTTGATAGCTATAAAGGAGCTTGTCTCTTGGGGGGGGGGGGGGGGTGTTAATGATGTTATGAAAGCAAATGAAAAATTTAGAGGGAACCCTATAAGCAGGAGACGTGCGGCCAAACTCTAGGCAAAAATAAACTATAGTAAACTAATGGATCTAGGTTTTAAAGGTTGTAAATACACTTGGGCAAATCATCGAAAATTTAGAACGGACCTTATTATGGAAAGATTAGATAAAATATTTGCAAATGATAGCTGGGTAAACCTATTCCCAAAAGTTTCAGTAATCCATCTACCAAAAACACACTCTGACCACAATCCCATGCTCCTTGAATTAATTCCAAAACAAAATAACACCCTCCCTAAACCTTTTTGTAACGACCCGATCAGTTGTTTTGAGTATTTACATTTCGTTCAGCTATTTAAAGTCTTGAGCAATATCGTATGATGTATTATGACTTGTGTGAATCATCAGTTTTGGTTTTCAGGTTATTCAGAATCGATTTGGAAGAATGAATTTCATGATTGAAGATTTAAGTTAGAAGAGTTGGCCAAGTTTGACTTTTTTAGTATTTGACCTCGGATTGGACTTTTGATGGTTTAGTTAGATCCGGATGGTGATTTTGGACTCGGGCGTATGCCCGGATTTGCATTTGGATATTTCTAGAAAGTTTCGGTGCAAATTGGCGAAAGTTAGAAATTTGAAGGTTTGGAAAGTTCATAAGTTTGACCGAGAGTTGACTTTGATGATATCGGATTCGAATTATGGTTCAGGGAATTGGAATAACTTTGTTATGTCATTTGGGACTTGTATACAAAATTTAGGTTCATTCCGGGTTGATTTGATATGTTTCGGCTAGAGTTTTGAAAATTGAAAGTCCAAAGTTCAGTTAAGTTCGAATTGAGGTGCGATTCGTCATTTGGATGTTGTTATGTGTGATTTGAGGCCTCAAGTAAGTCCATGTTATATTATGGGACTTGTTGATATGTTCGTAGGGGGTTCCGAGGGGCTCAAGTGAGTTTCAGATAGGTTTGGGTTGTGTTGCGCTCGTTTTTTATGTTTCGACATCGTTTCTTCAAGCATAAATGGTACCACATTAAGCAAATGAGCTCCAATTTTTGTTTTGATTGAAGCATTAGATCCATATCGTAATTGTGGAACTATAGCAACTGGAATCATTAAGTTTCGACATCATATGAGGAATATTTGGTCATTTTACTAAGAATTGGGTTACCAGATTTTTTAAATTAATTACGAAATTACCACTGAATTCGTATTTAAAAATCTGCACTATTTGCAAATATTGAAACCAACATATCTCCTTTATTATAAGGTCAAATAGAGTGATTCAAAAGCCTAACTTGACTGGAATTTCACAAGAAATCTATTAGAGGCATCAAAAGTAAGTTTCAGGATCGTTTGGCATGAGAAATGAGGCAGAACATTTGGGCGGAAGCATATAAATCAAGGGTTTGTTCATTTGGTCATATTTTGAGTTGGGGAGCTCGGATTTGGACGGTTTTTGAAGTAATTTTAACCACATAGATTGAGGTAAGTGTTCTCAACTCATTTTTCATTATATTTCATGAATCTATCTTCATTTTTGACAATTGGTTGATGATTTTAAAAGAGAGATTTGGGGGGTTTTGTCTAAAATTTTATAAAGTGCATTTTTGAGTTTTGAACATCGATTTGGAGTCGGATTTGAGTGAAACTAGTATGGTTAGACTCATAATTGAACGGGTTATCGAATTTTATAAGTTTTGTTGGGTTCCGAGGTGCGGGCCTGGGTTGGACTTTTTGGTTGATTTTGGACTTTTGAGTAAAGATTCGACCTTTATCGATTGGTTTGATTCCTTTGGCATTATTTGATGTATTTGAGTTTCTTTTGGCTAGTTTCGAGCCGTTCAGAGGGAAGTACGCGTGAGATGGCATATCTGGAGCATCGTCTGGCTTGCTCGGTGTTGGATTTGGCTTGTTCGAGGTAAGTAACACTTATAAGCTTGGTGCTGAGGGTATGAAACCCCGAATTAATCGTTATGTGATTGATGTTGAGGTGACGCGCATGCTAGGTGACGGGCGTGTGAGCGTACACCGTGTAAATTGTGATTTAGTCGATTCCATGGAACTGTGTAGTTATTTTATCTGAACATTTTTACCGTACTCTATGTGTTAGAGCACTTTAGCTGTAATTCGTGTTAGAATCCATGTTTAGGCTATATGCTGGTACTATTTAGACCCACAGTGGTTGTTCTTAGTTGTTGAGTTATTTGCTTAATTGCAGTTATGTACTCAGTCGCATTCATCATTACATATCATATCTCGGTCTCTGTTATTGTGTATTGTCACATCTCATATCATTGATTAGAGCTGCTTAGTATGAGCTTTGTGAGCCCGAGGGACTGGAGAGATTGATGACTAAGTGAGCCGAAGGCCTGATTGTGAGTGATATTTATGGGATCGGGCTGCACGCCGCAACATGTTTTATTTATTTATGCCTGGATCTGGCTTATTATAGCGCTTGGGCTAATGGAGCCCCTCCGAAGTCTGCACACCCATAGTGAGGGCAATTNTATATATATATATATATTTGGGATGGATCTTCCCTGGGTTGGATTGGCCATATACAGTACTGAGCATGAGGTTGTATTTATGTTTGGTTGGGCTGGATCTGCCCTGTACAGTGCTGTGTATTGAGCGTGATGAGTGAGAGAGTGAGACCATGAGATTGAGTACTCTGAGAGTGTGGGTACTTGAGTTCATCACTAAGATACATTGCATTTGGTATGCGTACTTGAGATACATGCATAGAGATGCATTTCCTTTTACTACCCGATTTTGGTGACATTCATGATCTTACCTGTATCTTGACATATAGGCATAAAGATGTATTTTCCTCATGCTATCTGAAAATGAAAACATCTTATTTATTGTTGAAAGGTTTTTGGACAAATCACAGCTTTCAAACTTACTCGTATGCTTTTGGGACTTTTGGTGAAAGATCTGGGATTTACTATCATACTTGAAAAGCATATCGATTTTTTGTAACTATGAACGAGTTGAGCATCTTACCTCTAAGTTATTTTCATGTACACTTTTATTATATTGTTATAAATTGTTGCTGGTTATTGTAGTTGGACTCTGACCCTTGTCCCAACTCGTCACTACTTTCAACCTAAGGTTAGGTTTGTTACTTATTGAGTACATGGGGTTGGTTGTACTCATACTACACTTTTACACCTTGCGTGCAGATTTTGGATGTTGATATTGCTGTGTATAAAGGAAGCTAGCATTGAAGACGTACCTGCATTCCAGTTACAACTGCCTCTTGTTCATGGTAGCCCTAGACTTATAAAAATCTGTTTATGTACATTCGTACAGATGATGTATTTATTTCATACTACCTTTGTAAATTTTAAATCTTAGAAGCTCATGACTTGTACTACCAGTCCTTGGGGGAGTTGTATAAATTTCAGTTATCTCATCTTTGACTCACATCAGTATTATTATATTATGCTTTATTGTTAATTGATTTACCTAGCGGGACGGGTTAGGTGCCATCACGACGGTTCAGGTTTTGGGTCGTGACAAGTTGGTATCAGAGCTCTAGGTTCATAGGTTCTATGAGTCATGAGAAAATGTCTAGTAGAGTCTTGCATATCGGTATGATGACGTCCATACCTATCTTCGAGAGGCTACAGGGCATCATTTAGGAACACAAGTCATAAATGATAAGCGTGCCTACTCCAACTTTGAAAACCAAAATCCTCTCCCGGAATCAATAAAGTCAACTCTTAGTCAAACTCTCAACCTTCCAAACCTTCAATTTTTTCAACTTTCGCCAATTCAAGCCAAAACGACCTACGAACCTCCAAATTAATATCCGGACATACTCCTAAGTCCAAAATCACCATACAAAGCTATCAGAACCACTAAAACTAAATTACGGAGTCGTTTACCTATAAGTTAGCATTCGGTCAACCCTTTCCATTTAAGCTTTCAACATTGGGACTAAATATCCCAATTCATTCTGAAACATCTCCGGAACCAAACCAACCACCCCATCAAGTCACATAACCATAAATAAGCATAGAATAAGCAATAAATTTGGGAACAGGGATATAGTACTCAAAACGACCAGTCGAGTCGTTCCGTTCTCCCCGTCTTAAACAAACACTCGTCCTCGAATGAGTGTAGAATCATACTTGGAGTCTCAAGTAGGTGTGGATATCTTATCCGCATCTCCCGCTCTGTCTTTGATCTCAACTTTCAAATCTACTGATCCAAAATGGCCATTGGCTCCACCTCATAAGTCAAATCCTCATCTAACTGAACCATGCCAAAATCCAAAACATAATACGGATCACATTAATTCTTCTGGAGCATGGAAATATGAAACACTAGGTGATCACCCGATAGACTAGGTGGCAATGCAAGCTTGTAGGCCACCTCTCCAATCCTCTCAAGCACCTTAAAAGGGCCAATATACAGAGGGCTCAACTTTCCCTTCTTTCCAAACCTCATCACACCCTTCATGGGTGATACTCGGAGCAATAATTCCTCTCCCACTATGTATGCAACATCACGAACCTTCCGATCGGCGTAAGTCTTCAGTCTAGACTGTGCCTTGCGAAGCCGATCCTAAATCAACATCGCCTTTTCCAAGGGATCCTGAACCAGATCTGTGCCCAACAACCTAGCCTCCCCTGGCTCAAATTATCCAACCGGAGATCGACACTGCCTCCCATATAAGTCCTCATAAGAAGCCATCTAAATACTCGAATGGTAGCTGTTATTGTAGGCAAACCCAGCAAGAGCTAGAAACTTATCCCAAGATCCCCCGAAATCCATAACACAGGCGTGTAGCATATCTTCCAAAATCTAAATGGTGCACTCATCCTATCTGTCGGTCTGGGGGTGGAATGTTATACTAAACTAAACTCGTGTGCCCAACTCTCGCTGCACTGCTCTCCAAAACTACGATGTGAACTGCGTACCCCGATCAAAAATAATGGACACCAGCATACCGTGTAGGCGAACAATCTTGCGGATATAGATCTCAGCCAACCACTCCGAAGAATAGGTAGTCACAACCAGAATGAAATGTGCGGACTTGGTCAACTGGTCCACAATCACCCAAACAACATCGAATTTCTTCAAAGTCAATGGGAGCCCAAGAACGAAGTCCATAATAACCCGCTCCTATTTCCACTCCAGAATCTCAAGTCTCTAAAGCAAACCGGCTGGCTTTTGATGCTCGTACTTCACCTGTTGACATGTCAAGAACAGAGCCACACACTCCACTATATCTTTCTTCATTCTTCTCCACCAACAGTGCTGCCTCAAGTCCTGATACATCTTTGCGGCACACGAATGAATGGAATACCACGAACTATGAGCCTCCTCAAGAATCAACTCAAGTAACCCATCAACATTGGGCACAAACGTCTGACCCTGCATCTGCAACACCCCATTATCATCAATGGAAACATCCTTGGCATCACCGTGATGTACTATGTCCTTAAGGTCAAGCAAATGGGGGTCGTCATACGGACGCTCTCTGATGCGCTCATATAATGAAGACCGGGGAACCACGCAAGCTATAACTCGACTAGGCTCTGAAACATCTTACATCGCGAACTTATTGGCCAAGGCTTGAACAACTAATGCTAGCGGTCTCTCACCAGCTGGAATAAATGCAAGGCTACCCATACTTATCGCCTTTCTACTCAGGGCATCGGCCACCACGTTGGCCTTCCTGAGATAATACAAAATGGTAATATCATAGTCATTTAACAACTCTAACCATCTTTGTTGTCTCAAATTTAGATCCTTTTGCTTAAACAAGTTCTGTAGACTCCGATGATCTATAAATACCCCACAAGAAACATCGTGGAGATAATGACTCAAAATCATCAATGCATGAACAATGGCTGCCAACTCTAAATCATGAACGAGGTAGTTCTTCTCATGGGGCTTCAACTGGCGTGAATCATAAGCAATCACCCTACCCTCCTACATCAAGACACACCCAATACCAATTCGATAAGAATAATAATACACTGTATATGAACCCGATGCTGAAGGAAAAACTAGAACTGGAGTTGTGGTCAAGGCAGTCTTGAGCTTCTGAAAGATCTCCTCACACTCATCAGACCACTTGAATATAGCACCCTTCTGGGTCAATCTAGTCAAAGATGCAGCAATGGACGAGAAACCCTCGACAAATCAATGATAATATCCGTCCAAGACAAGAAACCTCTGAATCCCAGTAGCTGAAGACGGTTTGGGCCAACTCTGAATTGCTTCAATCTTCTTCGGATCTACCTTGATCCCTTCACTAGACACCACGTGCCCTAAGAACGCCACAAAATCAATCCAGAACTAACACTTGGAGAATTTAGCATAAAGCTTCTTCTTCCTCAACGTCTGTAGTACAATCCTCATATGATGCGCATGCTCCTCCTGGCTACGTGAGTACACCGGTATATCATAAATAAATACTATGACAAAAGAATCGAGATATGGCTGGAATACACTGTTCATCAGATGCATAAGTGCTACTGGGGCATTGGTCAGCCTAAACGACATCACAAGGAACACTCTAGCACCATGAAGCTGGTCAAATAAATCATCAATGCGCGGTAAAGGGTACTTGTTCTTAATTGTAACTTTGTTCAACTGCCTATAATTAATGCACATCCCCATAGTACCATCCTTCTTCTTCAAAAACAGAACTGGTGCACCTCAAGGAGACACACTAGGCCTAATGAATCCCTTATCAAGAAGTTATTAAAGCCGTGCTTTCACTTTCTTCAACTCTGCTAGTGCCATACGATATGGAGGAATAGAGATGGGCTGAGTGCCCGGCACCAAGTCAATACCAAAATCAATGTCCATGTTCGGTGGCATGCCTGTCAAGTCTGCAGGACACACATCCAGGAAGTCTCGCACTACCGAAACAGACTCAATGGTAGGAGTATCAGCACTAACATCCCTCACAAAGGCTAAATATGTCAGACATACCTTCTTAAACATCCGTTGGGCCTTCAAATATGAAATCACTCTACTGGGAACATAGTCCAGAGAACCTCTCAACTTAATCCTAGGCAATCCAGGCATCGGCAATGCCACGGTCTTAGCGTGACAATCTAGAATAGCATGACATGGTGACAACCAATCCATGCCTAGAATCACGTCAAAATCAATCATACTAAGCGGTAAAAGATAAATTCTCATGATCCAATCCCCCAATAGTCACAACACATGACCGATACACACGGTCCATAATAATAGAATCACCCATCGGCGTAGATACATGAACATGCGTAACTAAGCAATCACGGGGAAAATTCATATAATGGGCAAAGTACGATGATGCATATGAATAAGTGGAACCAGGGTCAAATAATATGGAACCATCCCTTTGGCACACTGAAACAATACCTGTGATCACTGCATCTGAAGCAACGACCTCTGGCCTAGCGGGAAAAGCATAGCGTCGAGCCTAACCACCGCCTAATTGACCTTCCCCTCTAGGGTGACCCCGGGCTGCTTGAGTCCCACCCAGAGTTGGCTGAGCGTGGTGAAATAACTGGTGCGAAAGTCATAGCTTGACCTCTCTACTGAACTGGGACCTCCCATAAGGCGGGGACAATACCTCCTCACATGCCACAACTCTCCACACTAGAAGAAACTCTGATCCAATAATGGCGGTAGAGACTAAATCGGACCCCAAGCACTAGAATAACCACCAGAAGAACCTGGTACAGTCGAACCCTGAACTGATGGAGCACGGGATGGACTCCGAGCTGTGAAAGCAGTGAAAGATAACTGACCCGGATGAGTACTGCATGAACCATGGCTAGTTGATGCACCACGACGAACAAGATGAGTACTTGTTGGGACCAAACACACTCACGCAAGTATACGTGATCGTCAAGTAATAAAGTAGTAAATAAAGTATCATTCCCACGAAGACTTATGATTAACTTTTGACTAATTCAAACTCGAATAGCTTATCGACTCAAAATATTTCTGACAAAATATATAATTTTCTAAATTACTACCTAAAGGCTATCAAGTAATGAATTGCTAAGAATCAAACACAACACTTAAATAGTTTTGAATAACAATCAATAGGATATAATATTCCAGGGTCACGGGTTGTCTAACAATCATGTTGCATTCTTAGTTTAAAGTAACTAATTGATTTATCTGGATTATTGATTTACATGGTTGATATTACTCGTAAGCATCTGTCGAGTCCTTACTCATCTATTCAAGCTAAC